CTTTAGTTTTGTGAATGTGTTGTAAAGATAAAACCAGCAAGACTTTTAGCTACCATGCTTGTTTACCCCCATGCTTACGTTATACTGAGAGGCAAAATTATAAATTTTCTGTAACTGATTTGCAACCATTAGCTTTTGCTTTAACCACTTGTATGAGAGCAGGGGACATTATAGTATCAAAACTACAACCAAATACAGGTGTTCTGAAAATATGGATTTGAACAGCCACCTTGCTAACCAGTCATGGCGGTATTCACTGTACGACAGAGACAGACAAACCTGTCATTGACACTAGAAAATTTGTATCACATTTTTCATAAGCATATTTGGCTTTGTTTGCATCATGCTGGTTAATTTCTTGGGCTGTCCTTGTTGAATCATTGAAGTGAGACTAAAGCACAACAGCTGTTTTTGGCTGAATAGTTTGCCATTTGTTTCATTGACTTGGATATCCAAGTACATTCATATGGGGAGGGGGTTTTGGGTTGAGCGTGAATTAGTTCTGAGTATGTTATAAAGATGAAAGCAGCAAGACTTAGCTGTTACTAGAAATTATAAATGCCCTTCTTAAGAGAAGGAAGGTTTATCAACCCCCCCCCCCCCCCCGTAAATTAAATATTGTACAGCTTTGATGGAAAATAAAGACCGTTTTAAAATACGTTGTCACTTATATCATGTTTCTTGGGGAGGACGTTATAAAGATAAAACCAGCTTATGTAACTAAAAGCAGCCATGGGTTACTTACGTAAGTGTATTGAAAAGATAAAGCTAGCTTGCGTAACTAAAGTATCGTAACTGTATGATAACAATTTTTAATTGTAACTTTTGTTGGATAGGTTTAACACCAGTACAAATTTTGAAAAGGCTGAACCAGGCTGCACCCAACGCGTCCCCCCCTCCCCCCAAGCATGCATGTGTACATGTGCGCGCACACTTTCAAAAGCTTATTTCAGAAAATTTCTTTCACTATCAGATAAAGACATGAAGGTATATATTTGTTTTTGTTTTTTCTATTTTAGAAGGGGTTCTGTCTGAAAACAGTTACGGGCAGTATTATAACTTACTGTACTTGTATTAACAGTCACAAATAACCCTTCTGTTTTTTAAATCAATTTTTAACTTGCTGTGGTAAAAAATTGTGTGGTTTTCCCACTACATAAGCTCTCTGAAATAAAAATCAAATAATGCAGTAAGTCAGCATTTCCCAACCGGTATGCCATTGGGCATGTCCAGGTGTGCCATGGCATTTGGGGCTGGAGCCATGCCCCCCTGCCTGCTGCTGCTGTGGGCAACCAGACAGCTGGGGGGAACGTGGCTCCAGCCAGTGATTCAGATGCTGCCCCACTCACTACTCCCCCCAGCCCCTGTCTTGTGTTTAGCCACTCACTCCGCTACAACAGCCCCCTGGGCCCTGCTGGTAGCCTTCACTCCACACCAACAGCCCCTCTCCCTCCCCAGTCTTGGTGAAGAGGCATCCCCAGCTGCCAGGGCTAT